TAGTAAAGGTAAATTAAAGTATTTTTGGAATTGAAATTGTTTTAAGAACAGTAATTGATATTAAAAAAAAACTCATTTAGTTTATAAAAATGCCATTTTTTTGGTGGTAAATATATTTAACATGACCTATTAGGAACTTACTGACTTTTATTTTTCTTTATTTATAAAATAAATTCCTTAAATGCTACAAACTTCAAAAGGAATTATGTATTTTATAACTTTTATACGTTTTTTAAAAGTGACAAATGGTTACCAATTTTATTATTATTACTTCAAGAAACTTACTTATTACTTACTTATTATTACTTATTTTATTACTTCAAGAAAGCTGAAGTTATTGAAAAATGGAAACCTAAATTAAAAGTGGTAAAACGTGGTGGTAAGAATACTTAACACGGCCTTCAAAAGGGTTAAATTAATCTGGACACATTTCAGTCTTGTAATAATTATTGTTTAAAAAAAATCTCGTACTAACGTGCAGTTTTTACAATGTTAATTTGCAACAGTGATACTTATGTGCTTCGGGGTGCCGCAAATAACTATATTAGGTACCTATATTCGCTACCCATATTTGCTCATTTGGTACTACCTATTATCACAATATCACCTATTAGAATCGCGGTGGCTCAGGAGATAGAGCGTTAGCCTCCAAATGAGGTGATCCAGCTTTGAATCCAAGTGGTGGTTGGTTGAAACGAATTCTGCTCCCGACTCGCACTGACCACAGTGCTGACGTTAAATATCCTCAGTGGTAGACGGTTAGTATCACCCTTGCTGTTGGGCTAACCATGGGAGATTTTCTCTTCACGTCAGGCAAATACGGGTTAGTTCCATCAACAACAAAAAAATGTCCTCCGCGAAAGCTAGTTTGTCCCAATGCCTGATCCAGGATCTGGGAAGGGTTCAAAATTACAATGCCACCGATTTGAACATTGATAGTAGTAAACTCAGAATCGGCTCGGCTGTTCAACTTCAATTATAAAATATAAAATAAAAAAAATACTGCCTATCACCAAAATTAGTTAAACATTTTTTGCCCCTCTTATATGTATAATCACTATTATAACTATCATCTCTAATATTGTTATAATCATCTCTAATATTGTTATAGTCATCTCTGGTAATTTAGGTTCTTACAAATCAGTTTTGCTGTAAATTATTCCGTGAATCGGCACTTACATAATTCTCATATTTTTTCCTTGTTTGTTATTCTTTCTTATGACTATATGTTTCTAAATGCACCATAGCACGGAGGCTTTATAGGTTTGCTACTGTAAATCCGATGACTTGAGTTTATTTATGTTAATAAAATGGCATTTTAAAAGTGTAACTATAAACAGTGTAAAGACGTGGTTACGAAATGCTCATTTGGCGATTTTTAAGATATGAAGAATTTTTAAATATTAATTATTTGTAAAAAAAATTTTAAAAAATAAACGATTTTTAAAAAAGTTTAATAACTTTCAAAATATTTTAGTTATTTGCCTATTCTAATGCTCAGATAATTCTTCACGCCAAGAGGGACTTAATAATAGACGATGAAAATTTTTAACTCTGTCAAAGTAAAACTAACTTTACTTGCTTACCTCTATTATTATTGTAATGCGACTTTAAATATAAAAGTAATTCTTCGAGTTTATACGTAATAATTTATTTTTAATAATCGAACTGTATTCCAATAATGAAAAAAATATTTCATTGACACGAGACAGCATAATTTAGCAGTTTATCCAACTTAAGCAGGTTTTTATCTTATAAAATAATTTGATAAAATGAATATTAAAGGTAAACTGAGAGATATTAATTGACTTTCGGTTGCTCAAATTTTTTCTACTGCTATAAGAATTAAAAATTTCTAATGTAATAAATATTTTGAATTAAAAAAAGAGTTAAGGCATAATTTTACCTACATTTGCAGTTTTACAAGAAATAATTAAAGCTAGCCGCCTTGGGTGAGCAACTTGGTCAACTTTAAAAATTATTATCCCTGTGACGCTGATGGGACATCAGAGTTCCTTTTATCTATTTTTTTCTGACTCTCTAATTGCAAGCAGAAATATATTTTGTATGTTTTAATTATAAAAAGCAGTCTAATAATTACTAAACAAATCTGTTAGATTATCTGAATTATATTTGTTCTAAAATATAATATTAAAAAAAAATAGTTCGAAAAACAAAATTTCATTCATATTGAGAAATTTATTACCAATGGCAAATAATAAAAAACTGAAATTAACAATGAAAAAAAAAACATAGAATATTACGAAAAATAATAAAATAACTTAAAAAATAAAAAAATAATTAAATAAATTTAAAGTTATTTAGTTGTGAAAAGATATAATCTTGTTCTCAACTCTCACGGTGGTTGAAAAACCGACTTCAAGTCACCAACCATCTGGCAGCTGTCTGTAAAATTCTTTTCTGCGTCATTGTTCTACGTCATAATATTGATTACTTTCTAAAAGTAATTCACTTAAAAAATATGTAAGTTTTATACTCATTACTTTCGTTGTACAGTTTTTAATAGCTAATTTTTAATAAAGAATAGTTCATTATAAACAGTTGGTTCTAAACAACACGGTGGTTCAAAAACCTACTTCAACTCACCAAAAACCAACTCACCAACAACCGAGCAAATGTCCGTAAAATTCTTTTCTATTTCATTGATATATTATTGTTTCTTTTCTAAAAGTAATTAACTCATTAACTTCATTTTATGCTCATTACACTCTTTAAAGAGTTTAGAATAAATCATTTTTAAAATAGTTTATTATAAGGAATAGTTTAAAATACCTGATCATTTAGTGTTAAACTTGAAAATGTTGGTAGGGTTTTCGCCCACTGTATGGAATGAAGTAAAATTCTAAAGGACATATCGAAGAACACGTTGCAAGATACATCAAATGGCCATTCAAATCTGGTGCTGCAAGAAGTTCGAGTCACACTGTTTGACAAATCTGAATACGTTTGATGAAAAAGTGTTTCCGAGGCTGCAGATTCTGTTAAAGTTAAAATAAGTTTGCAGCAAAAACATATCATACATAAGAAAAATTAGATGGTTTAAGAAGAAGGAAAGAATTTTAATTAGAGTTCCTATATCTAACGTAGTTAAAAAGTTACAATATAATATTCTTTGATTGGTTCCGTGCCGAAATTTACCAAAAAGAAATGGCAAAAAAAATTCTCGGAGACTTTACATGGAGTCAATTTAAAAATGCAGGGAACGAACAAAATTATGGAGACACTTCTATTTTAACCCTAAAAAATCTTTCTTTTAGCAGCAAATGTTTTAGAAGATTTTACAGGGAAAAGCTGATTGCAAAATTTGCAAAGCTCTTAAAAATGATGTCCTTCTTAAAGATGTAAAATTTGAAAATAAGGAGAGGAGGAAGTTAATAACTTCTTTCTAGATTTAATACCAGCAACTTTGAAAGCTTTCTTTACGATTGCAATATATATATTAGAATGCATTTTTAATTATATCTGTATATAAAAGGACAAGAGATTTTCTAATTTCATTCACTCCTTTTAGTAGATGCAAATTTTGCATAAATAAAAAGGACACCATTTTAAAAAGCTTCAAACTTGATCTGCCAACATTTGCAAACAGTTTTGACAGGACCAATCTTCCAAAACAATTTCTGCTAAAAGAAAGATTATTTATGTAAACTTAGTGCAAAAGTGTTTTCATAATTTTTTTTTTGTTTCTGTACCTATTCCACTCAAAAATATTGTTAAATACGATATATTTTTTGAAATAAGATTTTATATGTATGATAGCTATTCTTGGCACTTTTATCAAGTTATTTATGCAATAATAAGCCAAATAAACAGTTTTTTTTAAAGGATTAGTTTTCTCAAATAAGTTCTTTGTATTAGAAATTTTTAAATATGAACTAAATAAGAAATTATCGAAATGAACCAGCTAATAAACAATTTGAGAAATTCTTGGAAAAAGCGTAACCTAACGTAGCTTAATGCTGTTAACGTAGCAACAAAGAAACTTTTTCGATTTATACTGTCTATTCACTTTATAAGTTTTTTATTAATTATGTGCCACCATTTAAATAACAGAAAAATTAAATACAGGACATAAACAACAGAATTAAAATAACAATAAAAAAATTAACATGTAAGCTAAAAGCTTCTAACGCTTAGTAAGAAAACAGAAATGGAGAGATAATTTCACCAAGTGGTATTACCAAGCTTTATCCTTCGCGACCTCGATTTTGGACTATTTTGAAGCTGCTATCTTAATTTTCTAACCTACGTGTAAAACAGAAGAGACTCGAGCCGGACTGTGGTCGAATTTGTTTTGGTAATAATATGGTAATAAAATTTGCTTCTATTGGGCAGGAAACGATTGAAACTTGTCATCCAATGTTGAGTTCCAGTTAAAATATCTGCACTCTACTTCAGCTAGTTGAAGAGTGGTCAAAATTTTGATTAACGATAAGTTCCTCTTAGCGATAGTATGAAAATAAATTCCAGCTGTAGTCTTTAGAAAACATTTGAGACTGGTAATGCTCATCAAAAAACTTGGTTTAAAATTTGAGAGCTCTATCTCTTTAAAAGATTGAAAGATTCATAATGATTATAAGTTCTCTTTGGGGATAATATCGTGATAAATCCTGCTCTCAGATTTCTGAATAAGATCAAAACTTGCATTGTCATCAGTCAAAGTTCGAATTGAGATTTGAGAGCACAAACTCAGCAGACGTTAATCTTTTGATCATCACGAACCACGTATCAGAAAACTCCTAATCTCGCGAACCACTACGCATTCGCAAAATGAATTAAAAGACTACAAGATTTTGTTTTAATTCTTTACGACTTAGTGAATTGTTATGCCGAAAAAGGAACATCTGGCATTCCTGTAGTTACACTAAAAGACCGCAAACGACACCAGAAGTCAGGATCAAGCCTAGATGCTTTAAGTGATGAGGAATTAGAAATGTCTTCTTGCCACATGCAGGGTGTTTCAAAGTTAGGCCGACTTACTTAAAGAGGTGCTAAAAAACATCAAGAGAATGAAACCTTACCATAGATTGTGAAGTTGAAAACTGTTAAGTGGTTGAAAAATCTCGAAAAACCCATGCAGATTTCGACGTCACAATGGGAGCAAACTACAAAAGATACTACAAAATGCCTAACTACAACGCGTTTTGTTTAACTATTATAAGAGTTGTTCGAAGAGGCGTCTTCTGAAATCGATGCATATTCTACAACGTCGTAAAAACGATCCCCGAAAACACTTGTTTGAAAATGCCAGATGTGCTTTTGATGTCTGCAATCAACGCTATAAGAATGCATTTTTAAAATGGTTTTGGGAGTAAGTTTCAATTCTCTTATCATCCCTCTAAACGTTTCGGTCAAATTTTGGAATACCCTGTATAGTTTTTGATTAACAATTTATAAAATGTTTCTGAACAACCGTACTAGTAGGTAGCTATACCAAGTAAGTCGCGAACTGTCATTGAATGATAAAGATATTAAATACCTTGACTTTTACTCTTCACATTTCTATGAAATGGAGCTGTCGTAAACTTAGCTGTGCTCAGTTTGGAGAACAAGGGAGTGGAGTTGTGATGATGCAGAGGGATGAGAGAGGGCAGCAATCCGATTGTGACATCTTTCGTTGGACTGTTGGTTGGTGGATTATCTGAGTAGTGAAGAGATGGCACGAAAACACTCTCTGACCCGACTGTTGCAGTAGTCCTTGGTTGTCTCTCGTTTTGCACAGCTAAACAAACCATTGAAAGTGGTTTCAGAAATTAAAGAGATTCATAGTTCTATAAATTTTCATTTGTTAATTTATGTAATTCCATTTTAATTGATATTAGCTTCAGAAATATCTTTATATTAATTTACACATGGTAATCGTAAATCCGAAATTGGGTCAGCTCACAGTGGNTCGAAATTTATTTTTCGTGAGTGTATGATGTTTTTTGTATTTTCGTATATATATTTAGTTCGACCATATCATGTCCTAATTCATTTGCTCTTAACGTTTTTCTTTAAAAAAAGAATCAATTTTCAAAAAAATTTTCAAAAAAATAAAAATTATTTCTCTTTATTGGTAGATACCTAGAATAATAGGTAACAATGTTTAATAATAGTTTTTTTGAAAAAATATCAAGACGTTTAATTTACCCTAATATAAAATATAAAAATTAATACTTGGGTTTGAAAGTGCCTTTTTCAAGCTGAAATGGTAGGCAGCAGGACGAAATATCCTGGCTTAAGTGTAAAAATGTAATTTTTTCGTCATTGAATATTTGTAGCTGGGCATGAATGGTTTTAATTAGAAGTTTTAGAGTTAACATAAAGATTAATCAGCTTTCGCTCTAAGTAGTAGCATTATAGCATCTACGTAATAGCAGAGTTTTTAGTAGTCTGCAAAAAATATCAAAGCAAGTGGACATTTCTGATTTAGCAACTATTTAAACTTTAATAAGTTTCAAGCAGCAAATGTCAAGATTTCTTTACGTATTTCGACAAAAGAATTATGATGGAGTTTATATATAATTTGTGTTAAATTTATTTAAGCAAGAAATAAATTTTATTCCAAAAATGCTACTTCCACTTAAACTACTTTGGTGAACCAGTGGGAGCTCTGAAGTGAATAAATTAACCCATTATAATTAACCTGTCATAAAAAGTGGCGATCTTCATAGAAAAGTTGTAGCACATATTCTTTATATTACCAACCGTTTTTATCTCGTAAAAGCGTTCTGCTTTAACTTCAGATGCAAGTATAAACTTTTATATTATATTTATATTGCATTAGAACTGTATTAATCCATATTATTAACCAATTATGCTACTACTTTAATGACTAGTGCAACCATTTTTTTTCCTCAAAAAAAAAAAAAAAAAGGGTNAAAAAAAAAAAAAAAAAAGGATGAATCTTTTTCAAAGGCATTCCACAGTGGACTGATCACACGGTTCCCAGCAGAGCATCGAAGTCAAGCATCAATGACTGCGGTCAGTAAGCGGGACCACTTAATCAGCCTATGTAAGAACCGAGGGTGCGCGGTATCGGTCCTCGTTAAGATGTTCTACCGTTAAGAGTTCTACTTCGCTCGCAGGTCGTCGGCCTACCAAAGCAGGGGAGTCATCCCCACTGCAGAGGATCAAAATTGCGATAACATGTCATCGGATCAGCCTTAGGAGTGTTTCCCTGACCGTCACCAATAGCCCATTGTGCAGCTCTAGTGCGACGTAAATAAAGTACCAACCTTTGAAAGACAGCTGGATATAAATGAGTTAAAGTGAAAAATTTCTTATAAAAATTAAACTATTATGCAAAATACATATTTAAATATGCTATAAAATATCTCACCATCTTTATTCATTCCGCATTCGAGACATTTTTTCAATCTACACGCTTGGCATTGATTTCTGTGGGTTTTGTCCACCAAGCAATCTCCACCTGACGCTTGGCAACGATAAACTAACTTTCTGCGTACACTTCGTTTGAAAAATCCACTGCATCCATTGCACGCCAGTACGCCATAATGCTTGCCACTTGAGACATCTCCACACACAACGCATATGAGACCAGATTTCGATTGTCTCTCGTATGCTGAACTGTATTTAACTGGTGCGTTGGCGGTGAAGAATTCAGGGCCGGATTTGCTAAAGCTGAAGTAATTTGGGTATACATCTGGAAAGTAAAATTTGAAAATTCAGAAGGGGATTTCTGTGGAGCTTAAGTTTCTAACGGTAACAGCGAAAGATCCCGCTCGAATCTTATGAAAATTAATTCTCTGACAAAGTCGCTTAAATTTTATATGTTGTAGTTCAAAACATTTTGATCAAAAGTTCTCATTGATATGAAATCAGTCCAAAAATTGATAGTTTTCGAGATAAGAAAGCTTCAACCAGAAATAGTGAATCACAATTCTCTAATACCGATTAATACTCAATTCTTTAATAGAGAAGTTAGTAGTGAACTTTTAAATAAGCATTGAAAATTAGATTAAGTCAGGAAAAAACTAGTAGCACGTCAGATCGTCCAACCCTAAATGAGTAGCTGCCATTACTTATTCGCATTTGCCTAAAGCCAATGCTGCGCAAAAGGACACGTCAACTTCTTTCACTATATCCTTGCCTATAATTCTTATGTTTGAGACTCCGTATTTCGTAAACTGCCAATTTTCGGACTTTGTATTAATGAAAAATTTATGGTAAACTTTATGGCGGGGTCCTTTATGATAATGCAGGTGACTATTTTCTCTCTGATTTGGAATCTGAAATTTTGGAATCATAGACTGTTTGACCATAATATCTTTTAAATTTGCTACCTATTCTACAGTTCGCTAAAAATGAACCATTAAATAGTACATCTTAAATTAGATTACACGATACTCGTACCATGGTTCAATTTGCAACACTGGTCAGCTTAAGGTACATCTCTATAGTTAAGAACGAAAAAGTTAACTAAAGTTATTTTTAATTAAATTTGTTATAGGCTCTAAATATTCACTACTTATGCAAAATAACTTTATTGAAAAATAAATATGACACCATAATAACTTTTTTTGTTGAATCTTATATCAGAATATCTTAATAAATGTATAGGCAAAACTATCAGCATTGCGATAGATGCGTGATTTAGACTTCAAAACTTGCTTTCTGTTTAAAAACGTGGAATTTTGTTCCGTAAAGCCAATCATCCGTAGATTCTTCAGAATGAGTGAATTTTTTTAAGGATCGATAAAGGAATTAATAGTACTTACTTTTGAGATTTGAATTAAAGAAAAGAAATCTCAAATAGCTGCAATGCAGGTGAATCATATTCACATATATTGCTAAAAACTACATCTGATTTATTCTATTTGTTAATAGCCACATACGAATCACTGGAGTGGGTCGAAAAGCTCCCCCCCCCCTTTAAATTGCTATTCTACTGTATGGAAGGAATTCAATTTGGGTTCGAAGAAAATAATTTGATTTTTTTAAAGTGGAAATATTTTCTGTTATCACAATTGTATTTGAATTCCAGGATATTTCTTTTTCTTCTTCTTTTTATGCACTACAGCCGGTTACAGGCCAAGGCCGTCTCAGTCAGTATACCCCATCTTCGATGCCATATTTTTCCATCTGTTAACTGCCAAAGTCTCTTAACCACTTCTCTACTTTATCTAACCATCTTGTTCTAGGTCTTCCTCTTTTTCTTTTTCCCTCTGGTGTTTGGAATGTTATTTTTTTAACAGGATTTTCATCACTATAACGAAATACATGTTCTAACCACCCAATTTGAGAAACCTTGATCATTTTTACTATGCTATGTTCTTTGTATTTTGATTGCTATTCACGGTTGTAACGAATTCTCCAGGTTCCATTTTCTCTTATAGCTCCAAACATTTATCTTGATATTTTTGAATTTCAGGATATTTCATCCAAAAAAACAATTCTTATAATACTCACATAATTATGTTTTTGTTACTGTCATTATAACAGTGCAAAAAACTGTTCGCTGCATGTACCGATTTCGGAAAAAAATTATTTTTCATATTCGTTTGCTGTGAATATTTATTAAACGTGTAAAGGAAATGGATACAAACCACATTTACTGATGTATTGCATTGAGCAAAGAATTTTATTTTAGCTAGAAATTAATGAAATAATAAAACAATTATCTATAATCTAATAAAACATTGATTAGTAAAACAATAATCTCTTTACTATATTACAAGTGTTTCAAACCGAGAAAAAAGTTATCTTAGGACTCATTAATAAAAGGTTTAAAAATGGTTACTTCTCTTAATGAAGATTTTAAAGACAAAATAGGAACACTCTGACTTTTTGACACTGTTTCCTAAATATTATTTAAAGACAATTTAAAAACTTGTAGTCTTTCCACTTTATTTAAAATAGTTTAATAATGTTTTTAAATCACTATAAAATAACAAAATAATGTGTATTTATAGTCTTCATATAAAGCATTTGTTTGTGCATTTGAATTACTTGCACATGCCAAAATGTGAATGGCTGCTAACTTGTAATGTCGTTGGGGAAAATATTGCAATGTGGATTAAAAAAAATAGTTAAAGTTGGAAGAATTTTATTTTATAACAATCGTTGAACAGCTGAACCAATTTTTAGGTTTACGACTACTAATGTTCAACTTCATTGACTTGTAAATTTTGAACCCTATCCAGAAGACAATGGAACTCCTGGATCAAGTATTGGAAAAAATTTGCCTTCGTGGAGGACTTTTTGATGGGACTAACCAGCATTTGCGTTACATGGAGAGGAAAATCACGAAAACCTCCCATGATTAGCCTGACGGCAAGGGAACTCTAACGCATGATCCGTCAACCACTGAGGATATTTTACGTCAGCATTGTGATCGGTTCGAGCTGGGTGCGGAATTTGTACCGACCAGCTATCGCTCTGATTCGAACCCGGTTCACCTCATTGGAAAGCAATCTCTCTATCCCCTGAGCCACCACGGTTCAAGCAGGAAGAATTAATAAAAATTTATGCTACTTCACCAAGATTTAAGAGCATATAACTGACTGGTCATGTTCGTTTAACTGAGCTCTCTTGCTGCCCTATATCACATTCTTCTTGAAATTTAAACTTAGCAGTGTCAGTAATGGTGATAATTGGAATGCAAATGGATGACTTATAGAACTTATATGTATTTGAATTATTGATTTGTCATGGTGCGTAAAACTTTTTTTTTCGAAATTTAAAGAGCAAATTTTATACATTGAAACATAAATATGAACACACAATGAAACATTTTCTTCGATGATCGTACAAGCTGGCAGCTATGAAAGCGGAAAAAATCCTAGGTGGGTCCAAAGGTAATGGGTTAAAATAATTTTCAAATCGGGAAGTATTTTATAATTCCCAAAAATATGAATAAAAAACAGCACTTTTTCTTAGCGCTAAACATAGTTATTATTAGATTTAGCTCTTTAAATCGAGTGAAAAATGCCCTCTCTATGTGAAAGTAATACTAATAATAGAATTATTTTTTTCGAATCATATAATATACATATTTGTCATATTGTACAGAAAATATTTGGATTCGAAAAAAAAATTTTTTTCCCCAAGAATTCTGAAAATGTATCAAACAAGTAAAATAATTAGGTGCAAGCGTCAACTTTATTTGAATTCAATGATGCAAGTAATTTTGACGACCTAAACCAACATAAATAATCATTTAAACAGCAATGTATTTAAGTAATTTTTGTTTATGTAACATTTTTTATAGTAATATGCTAATACCGAGAACTTATATAAACTAACATAATTCGCAGAATGTTTGTAATAAGCTCCGTAGTAGGATTAATTAAATCAGAACACTGGAATTAAGAAAAAGAAATTCTGAAGATTTAAGATTCACTATTTAAATGCCAATGCTCCAATTTGTTCATGTAATAATTGTTTATTATAATATTCTAATACCGGAGAATTTATATAAACTAACATATTTCTCTGAATGTTAATAATGAGCTCCACAACAAGATTAATTAAATTATAAAGCTGGAATAAAGGAATTGAAAAATCTGAATATTTTAGATTAACCATTTAAATGCCAAAGTTCCATTTTCGGAAAATGTCCTATTTTCAAAAAAAAAAAGAAGAAAATGACTGGTAATGCAACTATTTTATTGTTAACATAAATCTTGGGTATGCAAAACATTTATATCCACCAACATATTTTAAAAATGCAAAAAAGTAAATAATAATTATTTCTTTAAAAAAAATTAAAAACAAAACTGCGATGGAGCGAAACAATTCTATCTTAGTATTATTTTGGTTTGAATGCTCAAACGAAGAAAAAGAGAAGAAATTTCATTTTACTTCAAAGGTCACAAAATTTCAAGTACGATAGAAGAATTGGAGGTTTGTATTATTCCATCAAAACAATTATTTTTTTATCTCTGTTATTGAACGCAAGGAGAATTGTTTTGCACTAAAAGATTTGCAACATTTTACGTCAAGAAAAAAAAGCTAACTTATTTTATGAATTATCTAACCAGACCATGAAAACAAATTACAGAAGAATATTTACTATGAATACATATTTAATATAAATTACACTGGAGAACAATTATACAAGTACTTGATCTTATATAATTAGACTGTGGGGATTTTAAATCAGAAATTAGTTGTATTTGGAAAGCTACAGATTTTTTTTTCAAAATGATAGCTTTGTTTAGTTTATTTTTTGTCTAAAAGTACAAGTTTGTAAAGAATGTATAGGTTTATATACTTGTTTATACCAGGATTCATACACACCTGGAAAAAATTAAAATAGATAGTAATATTGATGTAAACTGTTGTTTTACATTAATATGTCTGTAGCTACTAGAATATTTTATTCTTTCTGAGTAAATATATATAGATCCGAAAATGGAAGATATGAAATTATATTTCGAAAGTGAAAGGTGATAAGGAATTTTCAGCTCTTAATGACAAAATTTATACTAGTTATTAATAATTTCCAGGTGCGTATGAACTTTGACATACACTTGACTGTTCCTTTGAAATAAATACTTTAAAAAATATATATTAACTTTAAATATCGCATCAAGAACTGAAATGTATTATTACCTACTTCCTACCACTCCCTAAGTAGCTGAGAAGAGGGGGCTCTTAGTAATTAATGGAGTGAATTTCGAAACGTCCTGGTAAGGAATATATAATTGAATTGAAACAGTAGCTTAAAGGGAAACCAGTTGTAGATAAAAATCTCATGCAACAGAAAAAAATTTGTTTCCCAGTGCTTTTAACAAATACGTATAGTTTTCTTTTAATTAATTAAATTTCAATTTATTCAAACCTGCTCATCATTTCATTAGTAATACATTTTGAAAGAAGTGCAATACCTTTGTGATCATCCTCTTCCGTTCTTTTGCAACCTTCCATGGTATTTCCGGAATCCAGAAATTGGGAGATTTAAATTTGTAAAAACGGAGTCTGAATTTCGCTCCATTTTGATATTGCGTCATCGTTTCAAAGACCCCACCTCCAACCGATTCGATAGGCGACGTCTTTATAGAACTCCAAGACGTTTGTCTTCTTGCCCTTCTTCGATTGGTTAGAAAATTTGACAAATCCGCAAAAAAAGTCAGCCCTTTTAAAAACTTCTCTTTTGTCACTAATATAAAATATACATGTTCTAAGGAGAAAGAAATGAAAAGATATTTGTTTTTCTTAATTAATTGAAATTTGGAATAAAAACAAGAACAAAAATCAATAAATAAATATTTTTTACCAATTTATCTGCTACGACGAATAATTTTATAGTAGAAATACAATTCCCTTTAAAGTTGTGAGAATAATCGGTGGAAAAAGAGACATTTCAATTTGTTTGTAACTATTCCAGAAATTAGTTCATTAACGCTGGAATTTTAATTGCAATAATATCAAAAGTGCTCTTATAAAAGAGTAGAAACACATAAATGTTTCAATCAAGTGGGTATTTTCTTATGTTAGCTACCATTTAAGTTTTTTCAAAATTCATATAATACTATTATTATTGAATTGAACCGAAGGCTTACTATAATATATCTCAGCACTAATCTAAAACTTCCCCAAACTAAAATCTATCAATAAAATAACTGTGGTATCAGTTTTTATGTGGTTGATACGGAACACCCTGCATGTATCTTAAGTCATTTATGTAAGTAGACCCTTTTTTAATTGCGATTTAAACTTGGGATCGATTTTTATCTCTCTGAAGAAAAAAAATCGGAAGTGATGCAACAGCTGCTGTTTTGGCTGTTTAGCGATACATTTTGTTTTGTTTTATAAAACCTCTTAGACTTAAAAACTACGAAAGGGTATAAAAAACCGAAATTATGAAGAGACATAGAAAATGTACAAGGAATGTGATGAAATAAAACAATAAACATGCGATAATTGTTTTGAGAATGACTTGCATAGTAAAAAATACCATGCGGCCCTTTCTAAAGCATGAAGAAATGCCACTGTTGTGTTGAAATTAGACGCACTGTAAGGGAAATTTTATTTATGAGCTTAACCATGGTTGCCATACCCTGGAAAAATTTTAAAAGTGATAGAAAAGATCGACTATAAAAATTGTTTTGACTTACTCCTATCCATCCCAAAGAAAATTTCTAAATTTCAAAAATCTACATCTAGATGTTAAAACTGTTCTTATGAATTTGTAAAATTAAAGGAAAAAGTCTCATAAAATTTCTAACAGATTCACGAAGCACTTGTCACCACTTTTTAAATTTTTTCAGACTGTGGCCACTCTCTTAACTATTTATTCATTGTTGTGAGAAAATTTATTTATCTCTCTCGAGATCTTTATTTTATAAGCTCTAACTAGAGTTAATGCCAAAAGTAGCAAAAAAAGGAAGAGAGAGATTTTACGTTACTGGATATAAATTTAATATTTATATTGAAATTTTTAAAAATATTTAAAAAACATTAATTCATGGGAGATAAAAACTGTTTCTTATTTGAACTACTTCAATGATATAAAACTCGTAAACGAGTAAAATTGCTTCTCATTTATTTCATTTTATTATGTTTCACGTTCTGTATTCCTAAGTTAATTTTTTTTCGAACACAGGTTGATTAGTTTTCAAATATAGATAATCATTCATCTCAATACAGTTAACATATCAGCAAAACGGTCTTACGCAAAATTATAATAATTATATATTTTATTTTCAAAATGTTCTTTTTTTTTTGAAAAATATCAGCTTTAGAAATCAAGCAATGACGAATGAGAAACTATCGCGGGATTTGATGAGCGAAGCCAGCAGGGATTGTTAGCTTTTATAGCATTTGTATTCTTTTATTTCCACTGACATACAGACTATAAACAAAACATTAATAACAGGAAAAAGTCGTTTGGTTGCCTAGCAACCAGCCAGAGTTGCAGTTATTATATTTACAAGAGTTGGCAGACGATTTAAAACAATTATTTAAACTAATTCTCCATTGATGTCGGAACATCGGTAGTGCCTCCTTTAAAAAATCCAAAACTATGAACTTTCTAACTATATATATGTCGCAGTTTTTCTTTGTTGTCGGTGCAATTTTTTCTGTCCCTAATATCACATGGAAGGATCCAGTTTTTCCCCATTAATTTTCATATTTTTTTTTGTTGTCATCAGCATAAAATTAATAAAAGTCATAAATGCACTATTTCCCTTTAAAATATTTTTGCATCCCAAATTATTGTATGTAATATTTATTTTGCTTATTTTACTCCGCTATTATAACGTTTTTGGTTGTTTTCTAAATTTGGATTTGGAAAATCGATAGTCGTAAACTTATAATTGGGTTAGTTGTTCAACACCGAGGAAAAACAAATTAAAACGATTGAGTTAAAAGAGTATACTTTAATGCATCTATTTCCAGCCGAGGGCACGTGGTTATACTCTATCTATCATTTTAGAGTGATAATCTATAAAGGTAAAATCGACAAGGTTAAATTCTCTTATTTTATCAACCATTTTATTTTTAAAATTTTGCAATCAGTTTATTTTAATAAACACTATGTTATTGTCACGAGAAAGCATCATATTTTCTGCAAAAATAGTTGGACGATAGTATGCATCATGCTTAACAGTATGATTACTCACTTGATTAACACAAACTGTAGGCAAAAATTTCCTCACGCGATATCACGTGATATGGCAAAGAACGTGTTAAAATTTTTTTTTTTAATTAACGAATAAACTGTTAATTTCCCCATTCTTCTTCTAAAAAGATCTTTCTTAAAAAAATATATATAACAAAAAGTTTCCTAAACAAAGTATTGTTCATGTTTTTGTTGACAGCTAGGTTCTGGTGATGGTGTAGGGGTCGCTATATCATTTGAGTAAGTGCGGGTCTCAGGTGGTGGCACGAATAGGATTAAGAGGAGGCGCGGGCAGATTTCATTGAAATCCCTCGACATCCCTTATAAAGAAAGACATCATGCAAATGAAAAACCATCTTGCCTTTGCTCTCCAGTTTGTGTCCGTCAAGTGACTCAAGGAAAAACATGAGGGTACCTCCACAAATTGATCTAATGTTACCCCACAAAAATTGTATAGCTTAACATCCTTAAATTTTTTGTACAATTATTATGATTGGGGTTGAGAAATTTTATACATATCGTATATTACTCATTGTATTTTTACACGTATCGTATATTTGTTTCAATTATATTTGCTTCAATATATTTGTTTCAATTTTTGCTAATTAATAAGATTGATTTGTTACCTTAATCCTAATTTCTTGGATTAGGTAACTTGGATTAGGTAATTTCTCGGCTTAAACCTAATTTCTTGGGTTTACGACTACCGATGTTCAACTCCGTAGTCTTGTAATTTTGAACCCAATCCAGAAGACAAGGGAACTCTTGGATCAAGTATTGGGAGAAATGTACCTTCGTGGAGGACTTTTTGATGGAATTAACCCGCATATGTGTTACACCTCCCACGATTAGCCTGACGGCAAGGAGACTCAAACCCATGATCCGTCTACCATTGAGGATATTTTACGTCAGCACTGTGGTCGGCGCAAGCCGGATGCGGAATTCGTATTGACCAACCATCGCTGGGATTCGAACCCCTGAGCCATCACGGCACATGAGTTAAGAAATTGAACAAATTGGTTTGATGACTTATAATAAAGGAAAACTCTGAAATACGACCTTCTCTATATATCATAAAAACATATTGGTCTGACACTGCTTTCCGTTGTTATCGGTGCATTTTAATTGCCTGGAAAATCATATGGTTGAATCCAGTTTTTCCATAAGAATTTCCATACTTTTTTTTTTTTTTTTNTTTTTTTTTTTTTTTTGGTTATCATCAGCTCAAAATGTATAAAGGTCATGAATTGTATTGTTTTCCTATAAGAAGGGGCCTCCCTGGCCGAGCGGTATCGCCGGTCCAAACGCTCTGTTAAGCGTGGAGGTAGCGGGTTCGAATCCCGCCGTAACCCTGGATGTATTCTTTGTGATGTCTTTCTCTGAATTGTTCTATCTGTATTTTCTACTTGACAATGACTTATAAGCCTATATTGAGCACACAAGTCAGCAAATGTATGTAATTTCAATTCAATAAATCCTATAAGAAATATTCTTGCATCCATTATTTTAAGGGGCCTCCCTGGCCGAGCGGTATCGCCGGTCTAAACGCTCTGTTAAGCGTGGAGGTAGCGGGTTCGAATCCCGCCGTAACCCTGGATGTATTCTTTGTGATGTCTTTCTCTGAATTGTTCCTCAGGTCGTCGGGCTACCGAAGCGGGGGTGCCATCCCCTCCGCAGAGGATCAAAATTGTGATGGCATGTCTTCGGATCATCCTCCGGGATGCTTCCCAGACCGTCGCCAATAGCCCATTGTGCAGCTCTAGTGCGACGTAAATTAACAATAACAACAACAACAATTGTTCTATCTGTATTTTCTACTTGACGATGACTTATAAGCCTATATATTGAGCACACAAGTCAGCAAATGCATGTAATTTCAATAAATCAGCCATTATTTTGAAGTATTTACCTGTTTCTAAATTAAGAGTTTGAAACTAACCGAGTTTTTTTTTTCTTTATTTTTTTATTTCTATGATATTACCTTATTACGTTACTTTTTAAGATAAGATTCTTGAAATTGATGTCAAACTTATTAACCGTTTTAAAATTCTAAATTTCAGGTGAAAATTACATTAATATAATGTACCGGCCAGGTGGCCGAGCGGTTAGCGAGGCCTGACTGCGAAGTCATTGGCTGCGGGTTCGAATCCCGCTCTGAGCATGGATGTTTCTCTCGCTCTTCGTGCTGTCCTCTGTTGTGTGTGTGCGTGTGATGTGTGAATGTGGGCCACCCTATAAACGGGTTTGTGGCTTGGGCAACGTTGCTCACCTCCGTGACTTTGGTTCACAGGTGACCACTGCGTAACGCTAAATGAGCAACAATTCCGGCATCTTCATAGGCAAAGATTCAAATTCAGTGCCTGCCATTGGGGGAAAAAACATTAATATAATGTA